AGGCAAGTATTTAAATTTTCGCGCTTGTTTTTTCTCTTTTAATAATTCTTTGACATAATTTTCTTGAACATAGAATTCCTGAATTTGGTATGTGTCACTTATGCATATATTCAATCAAGTTATAAACATTAAATTTTGAAAGGGTTGATATTTATGTCACTCTTTTTGACGCAAATTTTACCTTTAAATTTTATAGATAATTTATATCTTGACATGAATGGCATTATTCATCACTGCTCCCATCCAAATGATGTGGATGCTCACTACCGCATATCAGAAGACAAAATTTTCCTTGATATATTCAACTACATTGATCATTTATTTACAAAGATTAAGCCGAAACAATTGTTTTTCATGGCAGTGGACGGTATTTATCTTAATTTTAAATTGTCCCTTGAAGCAGTAAATAGATTATATATATTCCCATATGAATAGGAGTTGCCCCAAGGGCTAAGATGAATCAACAACGAGGTAGACGGTTCAGAACAGCCAAAGAAGCTGCAGAAGCAGTTCGAAGAGCTGAATCAAAAGGAGAGGCATTGCCACAAGAGGCTCCGTTTGATAGTAATTGTATTACACCAGGCATGCATTTTACTTTCACAAGTATAAATATTAATAAAATCGAGATTTTGTGACAGATTTTATAACATTTTTGTTCAGGCACGGAATTCATGGCGAAGCTTTCTCTTCAACTTGAATATTTTATTAACAAAAAAGTATCAGAAGATGCAAATTGGAGAGGCATACAAATAGTATTATCTGGGCATGGGGTACCAGGAGAAGGCGAACATAAAATAATGGAATATATCCGTAATGCTAAAGCTCAATCAGACTATAATCCTAATGTTAGACACTGTTTATATGGATTGGATGCAGATCTAATTATGCTGGGACTTTTGAGCCATGACCCACATTTTGCTTTGCTTAGAGAAGAGGTTACATTTGGGCCTAGCAGCAGAAAGAAAAAGCATGGGTGTGTTCAAAATCATGATTATAATTTAATTTAATATTTAGCTTTGTCTGTCTATATATGCTTAAGAATATCTGTGTCTAATGAATACTAGACGAATAGAATCGCAAAACTTCTACTTAATGCACTTATCTCTCTTGCGAGAATATCTAAATCTTGAATTTTCCACTCTTCGAGAATCACTTCCTTTCGAATACAATCTCGAACGAATAATAGATGACTTTATTTTGTTGGCGCTTTTCGTCGGCAACGATTTTATTCCACACTTGCCAAATCTTCATATTGCTGAAGGGGCACTTGGTTTAATGTTTCAAGTTTACAAAAAAGTTTTACCACAAGCTGGTTAGTCGTAATTTATAACGTGATTATTTATCATTTTTTTCTACCAAGAAACGTGCAAATGTATAAATTTTTATCTCTTTAGGTGGATATATTAATGATGGGGGAGTATTAGATATGAAGAGATTAGAGATGATGTTTAAAGAATTAACCATTTTTGAGAGAGACATTTTTGAAGGCGAGTTCGTAGATTTAAAATGGTTCAAAGGAAAACAACGAAAATATCTAGAACAAATTGAAAAAGATAAAAAAAAGAAGAAATTAGGTATGTATTTATAGGTATGTCCAACTGTGACGTATATTTTAAATATTTTTAAACATTATTGTCCAAACATAATCGTTTTGCGCTATTTTTAGTAATTACTCCGAAGCAGCAAGAGATATTCAAACAGGTTAAAGAGTTGGTTGAATCACGATCCGAAAAACCTATTCATTTTCCTGTTGATTATCCGGCGCGAGATCGTATTTTCATTCAAAATTTAGCGAAAGATTTAGCTATTCAACATTCAGTAGAATATCATGAAGATGGAGAAGATAAACATGTTTATGTAGAATATGATTCAGAAGATGAGTCTGAAGAAGAAATGAAAGAAATGAGAGAGAAAGTGTTTAAAAAATATGAAAACGCAGAAATTATTGATGATGATGATGTAGAAGCTTTTGAAGAAAAAGAAAGACAACAGTATGAAGCGAAATTTATTGATTGGAAAAAAGAATACTATATGGGAAAGATGAATATCGATTATGATAATCCGGAACAAATGGATGGTATAGTCGGCTCTTATGTAGAAGGGTTGCAGTGGGTGTTACACTATTATTATAACGGTGTAGCGTCTTGGGGATGGTTTTATCCATATCACTATTCACCGAAAATATCTGGTATGTTGGGATTATTACGCATAATTGTACTATCTATATGAGTCCAACATTTTGTCTTTTCTATTCAGATTTGTACGACTTAGAAAGATTTGATATCCAGTTCGAACTTGGTAGACCCTTTAAACCTTTTGAACAATTAATGGGTGTTCTACCCGAAGGGAGTAAAAAACTTTTACCATCTGCATACCAGGTGCAGTATGAAAAATAAAATATCTTTGTAAATATGAATTTTTCTTACACAATTTATCTATTTAGGATCTCATGATAGACCCTGATTCGCCGATAATAGACTTTTATCCTAAAGAATTTGATCTTGATATGAATGGAAAAAAACAAGACTGGGAAGCCGTAGTCAATATCCCATTCATTGATCAAAAAAGACTAATATCTGCTCTTAATTGTAATTATCGATAATATTAATATTTGTATGAATATTCATGTAATATAATACATTCCAATATTTATATTTACTGAACCTTTGACTTATTAGCCAGAGAATATCTACTAACTGAAGAAGAAAAGCTGAGAAACAAATTTGGTGAAAGTCTCATGTTCACATACGACCAGAACATAAACGAAAAATATCCGTCTTCTCTGCCAGATTTTTTCCCAGGCAAGTTCACATTATAATATCATTATTTATATTGTTTATTAAATTAGTATTTTTTTTACCTACCCAAGTTTTTTATGATGTTATGTTAATATATTTATGTTCAAAATACAAGATCTTAATCATTGCCATTGTCGAACGGAAACCTATTATCTCCCTACTTTAAACGGGTTAAAACTTGTTAAAGGATTGTGTGACGGGGTTAGATTAGGGATGAAAGCTATGGCCGGGTTTCCATCATTAGAAACCATTCCTCATACTGGAATACTCAGCAGACACGGTGTAAACGTTTTCAATTCCGAAAGCAGGTATAGAAACCAAAAATTTTTTATTTATAGTTATTATGATATCATGTATAACCATTTAAGATAATTCGAGTCTCAGACTTTATGAGTTCGTTATGCATAACTTCTATTTTATTTATTTATCACTTTGGTAGAAATGAGACAATGGTTATTACGCTTGTGAATGAGTTTGCTAACATGAAAATAGAAGATATTGCAAAGAAAACAGTTGGAAAAAGGATATTTGTTGGTATGAATGACTTTTGCTAATAGTTTCGTCATTACTGCACTTTAAGTATATACTTGAGCCTCATGAATCACGTTTTTTTAGGTTGGCCTTTTCTCCAAGAAGCTTTCGTGCAGGCTATTTCCGATGAACTTTTCAGATATGAATTGGCAAATTTGAATGTTCAGAGACAAGATGTTAGAAATACCCAAACTATTAAGAATCCTCAAGTCATTAAGAATCCCCATAGACAGGATGTACTTGAACATTGGCGTCGGAAGGCTGATAAATTGGAACAAAATTACAGCAAGAGATATGGAACTATCACGGGAACTGTGGAGGTCATAGCTCATGTTTTAATGCTAAAAGGTATCGTATTCCATAATAGTTTAGTGTATGCATTAAATTTATTATAGTTATTTATTCAAGCTAATAGTCTATGTATGCGATGTTATTAAGGTTTAAGGAGGCTGAGCAATGGTGCATTGGTAAAGGAATATGCAAATGCTAATGAAGAAATGGATTACGCAATCCAAACAACTGTGAACAGCGTTGAATGTGAAGACCCCCGATTTGAAGAAAAACCGGCGACTCAAATAGCAGAGGAATTTCCGATACATACCCAAGTTTTCTTTCTTGGTAGTCCATATTATGGTTGTCCAGGATTAGTTGTCAAAAATGCTAAAAGAAATTTGGCAGTAAAATTGGTGCGTAAATTTTGGAACTAAAGTTAATCTATTATGGACATTTCCTGATTAACGTATTATTTTTATAAGATTATTGATATAAATAATAGTAGCATGGAGCCTGATTTCGGAAAAAAAATTGCGAATGATTTTGATAGTCGTGTGAAATATTATCCTTCCTTTCAGGTTGCAAAAAGGTTAAGCATGAGTGGTCTAACATTGAGCAAATTAACTGCTAGCTTATATGTTATTTGTAAGTCAACTGATCAACGGGTCAACCTTGGACTTAATTTAAAATTTGAAGCAAAAAAACAAAAAGTATTGGGATATACAAGAAAGTCACGAGATTCTGGGTGGGAATATAGTGAGAAGGCGATACAGATTTTGGCACAATATAAGGTAACACGATGATTGTTATAAGTATTGATATTAGTTTGTATTAAAAGAATTTAAATTTTATAGGAAAAATTCCCAGAATTTATTCAAGCTCTTGAAGAGAAGCATAAAGATGGTAGTTATGCTTTATTACTTTTTAATAAGCCCGGAAAATTTGGCTTCTTCTAAATTCAATATTATATAGAAATTTATTCTGCTGAAGATTTTTATCCTAAAGAAGAAGCTGTTTCCAAAGTTCATGCTATAAAAGAATGGTTGAGAACTGTTGAAGTGAGAGATTTTGAAAAAGTGTCATTAGATGCCGAACAATTGGACAAGGTATAAATAATTTCAATGCCAAATATGATTTTATTAAACTAGAATTTATATTTATTTAATTACAAAATTATATACTGTTATTAGGAGGCAATAGCAAAAATAGAACAAGCAGCAGTTGAATTTACTAACAAAAAATTTTTCAAAAGACTTGTTGTTCGAAAAGTTCCAAGAGATGTATGTTGGATAAATATTTATAATGTCTGTTTTTATATTATTTCTTCACAAAAATGAAAATTAATCCAAACCAAGTTTTGGTGTCATTTAAGGTATTATTGAAACCAGCACACTCTTCAACACGTTTACAAGGACAAAAATTTAGCCTTGGTGATCGTGTTGTATTTGTCCAGGATTCTGGAAATGTTCCGATTGCAGCCAAAGGTACAGTGGTTGGTATTGAGAGAAACAATATTGATGTGGTTTTTGACGCTTCATTCATGAGTGGTTCAACATTGGGCGATAGGTTTGTATATCATATATTAGATTTTGTTGATAATATATAATTTTCAACTTAAAATTTTATTCATTTAAATAGATGTTCTCCATATCGTGGTATGACTGTACCTGGATCTGCACTTCTTAACTTAACAGATATGCAATTCATCGATCACAGCCGAACAAATCATAGCAACGGGATTATTGGCTCAAGATCAATAAGTTTTAATTCGAACCATCTGCGATCATCCTTAGGGGTGAATGGTCATTCTAACCACCATAACTCATACTATGGTGGGCGTGTTGGGAATAGTAAAAATAACAATATGTATTTAAATGCGAATCACAGCATAAATGGTTCGCAGAATATGAGATCAATCATGAGAGTTCGTAATGGTAATAATGGTAACTTATCTTTGGGATCGAATGGTTATATATCAGCCTCATCAACGTCTTCACAACGAATGACCTCACAAATGTATGGTCTTACGAATAAATATATGCCAGTTCATACACACAATCATTACCGCAGTGCGTTTACCGGGAATATAAGAGGTGGAAATGGGAATGGTTTTTTTTCGAGAGGTAACGTTGGTGGGCGTGGTGGACATTTTAGCAATGGCATGAACGGCTTTGCACCCAGGGGACGGGGTAGAGATGATGGAAAAACATAATAGCACATAAACTATTGTTCGACTTTTTGGTTATTTCATAGAATTATTATTGGTTTGTGTCTACACTTTCTTACTATTCGATACTGCTATTTGTAATATTCATTGGTCTTTAGTCCTGCTGTAATTTATTTTTATGTAGTTATTCATTTTATCATCATTCACATTCTTTTGATTTTGTGCGTAAATAGTTCATTTACGAAATGTAATATTTCTGATCCGGTTTTTAATCATTCTAAAGCCACTGAAACGATATCCGTCAAATAATATTCTTTCAATCGCCTTGATTATAATGAAGGATTATAATCAGTTATACTATGAAAATTGGCCAATATTTAGGCGAGTAAAAACTTAACAATTGATCGAGTTGTCAGGTCATAAAGAAAGTGTCAAGAATCTAATAGTGCGGTCAGGGGATTTACCATATTTGTGCAATGTTAATCGCATCTTTTATGGTAAAATGTTTTCGAATGATGTTTTTTGATACTGCATACTGTACGTATACGTATTCTAATACGTACGTACGTACGTTCGTACGTACGTACGTACGCATTTCTATTTTGTTACAAGTACGTAGTAATTATGTATATACAAGAATCCATAATTTTATAATATAATTTTTCTGTAAAAACTAAATTTAAAAATTACAATTTATATATATATATATATATAGTATGTGTTAATGACAGGACTCGTCAACTCGTGACTCGAATAACTTGAATTTATCATTCTTCGAATCATGAAAATTTAACTCGCGAGTTAATTATTATTAACGTGTGTCGAAATAATAAAATTTGCAATTATGCATAGTAAATACGTACGTTCATATGTAATTTTAACGTAACTATATACTGGAATGGATTTGGAATTTCCTAGTTAAATTTGGGTTAGGGTAAGGGGTTATATAAATAAATTCCTAATCCATTTAAATTCCATTTCCACTTACAACATAAAAAAGGTGTGAACAACAATTTCCACATACCTATGTGGGGAATCGAAGAATTGGAAAATTATCATTATTAAAAATTGAAGATCCGATTAGAGCTGGCTTTTAAAGTTTTGGAAATCTGGAGAATTTCGTGATATAGTTATTTGCGTCTGTTCACACCTTTTTACGCTGTTTTCAAAAGGTGTGAACGGGCGTAGATCACCATATCACGGAAAATTCATAATATTTTTCAAATTTTTCTCTTTTCTTGATTTTTGCTTCTGATAGTGAAAGATTTCTACCA